ATTAACCGCAAAGATATTTCTCGCTCCAAGTTGACGGCTCGAGTGTTTACTCGAGAAAATCTTGATAACGACGTGATACGCGATTCGCACGCCGTAAATTTGCCCGCCTGGCCCGCCCGCTCGTTCGTCGGCCAAAGCTCGCGAAGCGTGCATTATAGGCCGGCGATAATTTATAGACCGTAGTCCGCGCCCGGCCGATGCAAATAACTTCATATAAAATGCGCGGCGGTCGTTCTCGTGTGGACGTGACACTTCCGCCGATTCACGCCGGCACGAAGATTAATCGCGCGATCGTCTCACGTACATAGCGTGCACGTCGTACGAGAGCGCGCTTATCTCGCGTTCAGGTATGCGCTATCTCTATCTCTCTCTCTCTCGCTCTCGCTCTCTCTGTCGGTCAATCGATCTTCGCGCTTCGCGCACCGATCCATTGTTCCACGCGTATGTACGTATCGATCGATCGATCGACCGATCGATCGACCTGCGACTCACGCATGTGACAGGTTTAAATGTACGTATCATACTTTATTCCACTTTCGTTTCGATGTGGCACGGAGGCGCTTATTGTTCTGCCAGTTGCGCGGTAACGAACGTCGGCGCGAAACATAGCGAAACCACGGAATGCACTTAATCAAATTTCGATCGGCGAGCACGAAAGCATATTTATTGCGCTATCGTCCTATCGCGCCGTTTTATCATTGATGATTGATTACCGACGTAACAAGAATTTATCGTAGTATCGGGTTTAGGTCGGCGTGTTAGCAACAGGTACTCGCGTCTCTCGGCTAAACACGTCCGTTCGCATCGAGCGAGTCATTGATTCCTGCGCGGGTACAATCGTAGCGCGCGCGCGCGCGGAGTCCGTCCTGCAGATGCTTTGTCGCCCTCATATCGCTCGATGAATTGCAAGCACCGAATAAAGTATCGCGCTCGCGTTGTCACGTCAGCACGACCCGCTACGATAATCGCCGTAGTTTGCTTTCCCGCCGTAGCCGAGGAAACGCTATCGCGTTCTCTTCCGCTGAATTACGGACGGCTCTCCCACCGCGTTCCATCCATTGTCGCGAGGACGATAATCCTCGGGAATATCTCGGAACATCGGTGGAATATTGTACGTGTAGAGTACCCGGTCTCCCCTCAAATTTTCCACGTGATGTCGCGAGGCAGCGTTTACTGGCAGCCAGTCGGCGAACCTCCCGGGACTCGTTATCGATGGAGGCCATCGCGTTTATACGACCGTGTTCGTATGCGAGCCGTTGGATTCCCGTCGTTACACGTCCGCGGATACGGGTGTTGTACGGCCTCGGCCACGCGGGACGGTTACGTCTTTACGACTCTTTCATGTAATTGTCGAGCTCGTGAACTTTTACGAGCGCGCGAACCGCGGGAGCATGGCGGGAGGGCGGCCAGGCCGCGAGAAGCAGCACTTCGTTTCGCGAATACGCCATTCGATACGTTCGGCGCGAATGCACGGTGTGCTCTGCCTCGTGTTCTCGTGTTGAGAATCGAACACGCTAACCGCGCCCCGATACTCCGTGCTGTGGTCGAGCGAGGTTCTAAAACGTTTCTATTAGATATACGAAAGTAAGTGTTGGGAGAATATTAAGAATCGATCCTCGCACCACGAGAAAATTAATTTCCGTGGGCGATATATGTCGAGGCGCGATTTGCCGAGTCATTTCGTAGCGATGGAGTATAACATGAGCGTAAACGGCAAACTCGTATATGCACACAGGTAGGCCACGTTCTCGATTAAGTCGCGATTCAACCGCGGAGTAACGAGGACTGTGCTGAGAACGAAATTTGCAAATCGTACACGATCCGAGCCGAAGAGGAGACATTGTCGTCGCCTAAAGAGCACGCTCGTAACAGCCGCGATTTTCATTAGAAGATGAAAAGCATAGATAAGAGCTTCTCTTTCTCTTTCCATGAGAAGGAACGAGCCACGTTCGTACGTTTGTAGGTAGATCATGATCGATATCATTTGGCTGCTCGTGAATTGAAAGGAGATTGCGCTATCCTAGAGTCATTTTCGCGATTCAATCGGTCACGATTAGGAGGCGAGAGTATCCACGGAGTAAATTTTCAGCTAATAATTCAAGCCGAATCTCCTTCCCGACGCAGTGCTTTTCGAATGAGAGAGAATTTTATATGGATAAAAGGCACGATTTATTCTCCGACTTGGAGAAAAGACGGGAAGATAGAGATCTCTCTCGAAAGCACGAAATGTTTTTCTCTGAATTTTTGATAGAAAAAAGATTGTGTCTGAGAGATAATGGAAAATATAAAAAAATATATAAATATAAAATATACAAAGAGAAATAAAAAATATTTATATGTGTGATATTTCTATGTTATTTATATGTTGAAATATTTCTGATAATCACTGTATCGAGTTTACGCGGCTTAATTTCATTATCGTAACCGACTGTCGGTGTTTCTTCATTCGTATTAGACATCTCGACCGCGAGAGTGGCGTTTTCAGTCTCGTGATAATTAAGATCCTGATCTCCCGTCTCCGCGACGACCTCTCTCTACCTCGGTGAAGTCTATTAATTAAAGACCAATTGCTTCGTTGGGACGATCTCCGGCGGCGAGACGATTTCCGTGTATACAGTTCTTAACTATCTTTCTCTTTCTGTTCGCTCGAAATGCATGGAAACGAGAATGAATCTTCTGCCGAGCTATATTTTAGATTATTAAATTAAAAAGAAAATGATTTGTAATTAATTTTCTAATAAATGATGGAAAAACGTCATGATGAAACGCAGAAATAGTATTAGTAAATTTTTAATTGCTTTTCTTTTTTTTTTTTGTTATCGACATTTTAATAAAGTCGATGTATTTAAACATAATTACGTTTCGCTACACGCTAACATAAGCTACGAGCTTTCAGCGAAATTATTATTTTCGCAAGAACAGGACCGATTGAAATATACATTTCGCGATTTATTGATAATGCTCGCGAGCGCGAATGTAATAAAAATATGGGCGGATTAATTTATATTTAAAAGCAGAGCGTGCGCGCGGGACCAAATTTCTACATTTATATTTTCTATATATACATATTGTAGCGCTTGCAATTTACAAAATAATCGTAATTTCGAAGATAAACCGCGCCGAATGAATATCGAATTATTAAAACAAACGGGTTTAATTAATCGCGGCCTGTCCGAAGCAGGTTTGTAAAATATTCATCCAGACGAATTTGCTCACGTTTGAAGTATTAACGGTAATTCTACCGCATTGCGAAATAAATATCACCGGTGTCGCGAAAATCGTAACGTCGAGAATACTGCGTTCGAGAGGTTCGCGAGACCGTTTTCTTCGACCGACGTCTCGACGTCTATCGAGCGTTTATTACGTTACGCTCCTCTCATATATGCGAGAAAAACTCTAAACCGACTGTCATAGCCGCACCGATATATTAAAACGTGGTTTAATACGCTCTTTACGACCACCGGGCAATAAAGTCCGTTTCACAACGGTCGTTGATTCCACCGGGAATAATGTGGCGACTATATTCAAGACGCTCGTTAAAACTCGTCAACTGCCGGATTTTCCTCTCTTTTCCTCTCTGTCGATCGTCATTATCGTACTCCCCTTTCTCTCTCTCTCTCTCTCTCTCTCTCTCTCTCTCTCTCTCATCGCGTGCTGGTATCGCGTCGATGTACGCGGAATACGCGTTTGCAATGAACGGAGAATGTTTCGAGCTACTGCCACTGGTGACTGTTACGTTAAACGCGTAAATGTTATTTCGTCACGAGAATCTTTACGATCGGAAATCTCGCGCGAAATGAGAACCACTGTTCGGTGAGCGAATTAGTTAAAGCCAGTCCCGGCTGAGTCTTGTACACACGATGTAGAAACGATGTTACGAGAAACCGGTCTTTGCTCGACACGAACACGCACATGTGCACTCGGTGTGTGTGTGTGTGTGTGTGTGTGTGTGCGCGCGCGCGTATACAAGTCTTTTCTCCCTCTTGGGGAGAGAAGGAAGAGCGAGAGAGGGCTGTGCTCCTTTCTCATCCTCGTCTTCGTTTTTCTCATTTTCTCGACGCGCTTATCCCTCTTACCGACTGACTGCGGTCTCGCATTACGGCTCAATTTGGTCCGCTTTTCGTAATCTCGTAATCTCATTTGATCGATATAATCTCAACTCCGCAATCGCGAAGCACAGGGCCCTTAAGGATTCTTCACGGAGGAGGCGGCTCTTCCCGCAGCCGTCATTACGGATTCAAGCGGCATCTTGGTTTGCGAAACTCGATAATTCAATTAATCCCACCGAGTGGCTTTGCGTTTTATTCGAAGGCGATATTTATATGCCAATTTCGATTATTATTATTTACGCTCGGCTCGTTACGCGCAGCAAAAGTAACGCGGCGAATAGAATTATCGGCGGATCTTTTCGTCGTCGATGAGAGATGAAGTATCACTCGGATGTTCATCCTTCACGCGCACATGGAGAAAAACACCTGTCCGCGGCATCGCACATTCGTGGCGTAAATTTATTTCCGAATTTCCTTATCCTCCCTGAGAGAGAATAAACAGAGAAATTTTACGCGCTGACGTCTTCGGGATAGGATAAAATGACAAAGCCGTAACGTAAATGCGTAAATTGGATTTCGTGTGAGCAACCTTCCGGCAAAGTTCAGCTTTTGCATGAGAAAGTCGGCGTTACGCAGCTAGTTCACGCACGCATCACCTTACGCTTAACGTCGACGTGGCTTCATTAAGGGAACACATATAACGATGTAGCTATGCAGTACACTTACGCTTACACTAATTTCGTATTAATACCGTAATTTATACGATTACGTGATCTAATCCCTCTGTTTCATTTACTTTTGCAGTATTACGAGATGTCGTACGGGCTTAATGTGGAGATGCACAAACAGGTAAGAGAGTTTCTCAGTTTAGCTTACATTATTTAAAGTACCTTGAAAATACGCGGTAAAGCGCGATATCGTCATGATCGATACGCGATGTCAGTCGGCGGTGATTTATTAATCGCCCGGTTGGCACGTTGCGCGCAGCGTTGGGCTTTAATCCAAAATTAAAGGGCCGAACACGAGGAGAAAGCCCCGATTACGGGGTGTTTGCGACCCTCCGGGATCTTAGCTATTGAATAAATATGTAAACAAGGTAATAACATGCAAATAGCAGCGCGGCCGGGGTTCCCGCGCGTTGCCTCTCGCGCAAAACCTTTTTGCGCTATGAAAAAAGCAACCTAACTCGACTTTCAGACTTTTATTAAGAACTACCGAGATTACTGTGCTTTCAGAAAGCACTCGGAGCGAATCGCGAAGCTTTTTACTTCTTTCCGCATTGCACGTACAAATCAAATAATACTCATATTCTTTCTTTTTTTTCTCTCTCTTACCGCGCGGAAATTGTCCGCCGTATTATTTTTAAACAAAGATTCGTTTAAACGAAAATACCGTCGAAAATGTCGATCGCGTGTTATTTTTAAACAAGGATCCGTTTCGAGAATCTCCATTACAAAGATTTCGTAATCAAGCTCCTTTTGCATCGTACATCCATATTCATCGTACGGCCAATTTGAATTTTTTATTTTCTCGCACGCGCATCCATTGACGGCAAACCATCGCGAAGCATTGATTTCATCTTCTTTCGAAGCGATCCCTATTTCCCTCTTCTTTTTTTTTTTTTTTTTTACGTACGAGAGAAAGGTGGTGCCCACAGTCGAATAATTTAAAGTCGACGAGATTCGCGAAGAAAGAGGAGAGACGCGTTAATCGATCGGCAGCGAAACTCCCATCTCTTAATTACAGGACGCGTCTCTCCGATCGAAGTCACAAACACCCCTCGGGCAATCTTATATATAAATCTCAATCGGAGAATCGCATATTTCTTGCCGTTGTTATGCCGCGGAATGGATTTTCGATTCGCCGCCGTTCGTGGAAGGTCTTAAGAAATATCTCGTTTTGAAACCGACGTACAAGTGAATTCGTCGAATTATCGACAAGCCGGGCGATATTGACGACGTAGCTCCCGACGAAGTGTCCTAGAGACGGCATTCTGTACACGCTATCGAACAAGAAGAATCTCGATCGCAAATTCCGTAGAATAAATCCCTCCGATCCCTCCTCTCTTTCTTCGCCTACTTCGATATTCTCGCCCCTCATTGACGCTCCTCCATAATCTATCTTGGGCGTGGGCGTGCAGCGACGAGTAATGCTGCACGTTTATTGAATATTTAGCAGCTGAGCCCGTTATTTCCCTCACCCTCCCCCGCCCCCCCCCCGTCCCCGCCTGGCCGCCTTTGTGTGTCCGCCGCCTATTCTTTCCGCCTCCTCTTCTTTTTCCGGCGGGATGCGTCCTTCAAATCGTGAATAAGACTTCGTGTTGGCCTCACGATAGGGTCTGCACAAGGCCGGTAGCAACGCAAGTCAGGTAACAGAGGTTGCTTATCCCCTTTCCGAGCGGTTATTCAACCGAGCGATAGTGTCGACGCGCGTTTGCAAGTATCTTGGATGTGACGTGACTGGGGAGATCGAACGGCAATTACGCGAAAAAGTACTTGTCTAGATGACGACGATTAAATTATTAATTCGATGTTTTTTTGTTTATGATGTCACGTTATTTGTTTAAAAATTGAATAAGGGTAATATCTGGAAAAAGTATTTACACGTAAAGAGGAAGTAAGGAGGAAGGAGAAGTACATTCTCGGAGACCGAAACAGACCGGTTTTTCTGTACGAAACGTCTGGTTCTGGTCGAAACGTGGATTTCCGCCCGTGAGTCTTGCAGAAAAGTTACGTTATTAAGGTTGAATGAAGAGCACATAACTCTTTCAAGACTCCCTCCATGAGAACACGAGGACATTCGTCCTGGGGAGGAAGAGGCCACGAGATACATACCGTGTGAAATGTGGTATCGGAGCGATGGAATATAAATTCCGATAGGAAATCGCAATACGATCGTGTCGTATCCGCCGTTTTATGTTCCCGATATCCTCGAGATAAGCACTCGAGGCGGCACTCTGAAATACGAGACGTGACGGTCTCGGCGCACTTTTCTGGAATCGGAATGACGATTATTATCTGCTGTCACTTTTAATTCGGTTACGATTTATCGCTTCTGGTAACCGGTCAGCGGGGGGATTTATTATTATCGGCCGGGCATTATCGCGCCCGCGATTTACACACACACACACACACGCGCGCGCGCGCGCGCACACCGTATACACGATCCGCTCGTATCCGGTATCTCATATTTATAAAATCGAAATGCCGTGCTGCCGCCACCTCGTCGACACGCTCGCCTCTACCATCGCGGTATTCGCGATTAATGGCCAGCCCGTGCGTTTATGACGAGGCCGGCACGGGCGTTGTCGCGTCCGCGCGAGCGCGCGATGGGAATAAAACGAGAGAAAAAGCGCAGAGTGCGAGAATGAATTAGCGGATCCGGCGATGCGAAAGAGCAAAATATCGCGAACGCTCGGGAATTATCGGGTGTTACATTAACGCCGACGACGACCGGTTCGGCAAGTGTTGTCCACGCACGGAGCGAACGCGTCCCTCCTCCCGCTCCTCCTCCTCCTCCTCTTCCTCCTCCTCCTCCTCTCCCCGCCTGGAGGTTATTAACGTCGCTAATTCTCGGCAATTACTGTCATCATCGTCAGTCGTCTCTGACCACAACCGAGCTGTTACGTTTTCCTGTTACACCTGTACGATAATCATTGTCAGCCGGAATCACGCTTGCCGGATAGTTTATGGATATATCGCGCGGTTATATAAATGCCCACGTTGATCGGACAGTTCTTTGATCGACCGTATAATACGTCAATTAATAAGGCAAATCGGTGCCGTTATTCATTTAATATTGAATTATTATGGGTTACTTGGCAATTATCGATTTTTCGAGAGATCAATGTCGAGAGTTCGCAAAAAACGTTATATATCGTATCGACGTCGGACGTAATCTTATTCTCGATCTCGATCGCGGAGGATCTTCCTCCCGCGAGGCCGATTTCAAGAATCGCGAATGTTGCGTAGCGCGATGGGTGGCATTGTTTGATTTTGACCCGTACGTCGTCGTACATCGTCGGCCAATGACCACGCGGTCGCGCGCGTTCCCCACGTTTTTATTTGCAGGAAGCGATGCGTATTGTAAACGTTTTCAGGCATTACTCTCGATTTTACTAACGCTATTACCGGCGATTCCGCAGCTGCGCACGTACGTGTCGGGGCAGTCGGAAAATTCACGCATGAAAAGTATGGGCGACCACCACGAGTGATTCGATTTCGTTGTTTTGTTCGATTCGCTGGTTTCGCTCCCCCTCGCTCGCGCACTCCATCCCCCCTGGCGCTTGTCTCCCCCGGTTGTCTCTCCATATCCATCCCATATACAGTACGCTCATTATTCATTTATCGGTTTAACGAGCACGTCCGCGATAAAGCGTCGCGAAATATCGATATCGGATGGTCAATACCCGCTTGGCTCGCGCTCGGTCCCTTGTTTGGCGCGTGCTCCACCTTTCGGAAAAACAAAAGATCGGCCGATTGCGATTTTCGCGCGGCGGCGTATCCGAGACGCGTATCCGCTATCCACGCTTTCCGCTCGTTATCGGGATAACGAGACGACAATCGAGGAAATCGTCAAACGATTTTCAGAACAAACGAAACGTTCAGCGTTTCGTAAAATTGTAGTACGCTTCCATATATTTTATCGAGAGCGTTAGGCGTCGCGTCTGGGAAAAAAAATACACGACGCTCGAGGAATCTCGTCGGGCGCTTCATGAATAACTTCTCAAAAGCGTCCGGTACGCCGTCATCCCTTGCTTGGAAGAGAGAGAGAGAGAGAGAGGGAGGGAAGGAAAAAGAGAAAGAGAGAGGAAGAGGGAGAGAAAGAGAGAGAGACTGCGCGAAATGTGTGCGCAGTCGCCGCTTTTTTTCCCGTTTTTATTGTGTCTGCAGTGCCACTGGTTTGATCGGTCGGGCCGCGCCAGGTGGAGGCGGAGGAGCAGATGGTGATTGAGAGGGAAGCGGGCGAGGCGGGAGAGCGGGGGACAAGGGGAGGAAAAGGGAGAACGCGCGCGCGGCGGGGGTGGGTCGTGGGCAGAAGGGAGAAAAAAGAGGGCGAGTCCGCCAGGCCGTTGCAACGAGCGGAGGAACGAATGGGACGTTGGTGTTAGGCGAGGGGGGAAAGGGGGATAGAACGGGGTGCACGCCGGAAGGGGGGAACCGCCGGGAGCAGCCGCCGTCGGGGGTGGGTTGGGTGGTAGTTGGGTGGTGGTTGGGTGGCGGTGGTTGACGGTGGGGACGCATTGGTGGTGGCTTGGCGTTGGTTCGGGGGGGGGGAGGGGAGGGGGGGAGGCGGGAAAAAGCGAAGAGCAAAATTTGCTATCGGAAAAATCGAGCTCTCCACGCCACCGCCGTCGACCTCTCCACACGCTGTGTGCTCCTCGCTTTTTCTCCCTCGACCTCGCCCAACCACGAGTCGCGATCCCTTCCGACCTCACCGCCAATCCCCCCGGGAGTCTCCGGCGAGAGGTGTATACGTCGCGTCGGTGTGAGTTTGACACGCGTTCGTGTGTGCCGTGTGCGGCTTGGCGAAGAACGGCTCGCAATATGTGCACAATAAAATATACACAGAAATGTCTACTCTCGCTCGCGCACTCGTGTCTACGTTACCTCCTTTTCTCAGTGTCGCGAGAGCGCGCATCCGCCCAGGAAGTATACACGTGCACGCGCACGTACACGCGTGCACGTACGTAGGTATACGCCGGCTGGGTGTGCTTTCAGCGCAGGAATCCGCGATATCGACGAGGGTTCCATGTACCCGATACACGTCCTCCGTGCTCGCGATCTCTCAACACGATAAGTTCCTTCAACCGGTATTGCGGGGTCGGATCCTTTTTCTCTTTTCCCTCC